CGATCCTACTATTTCTTTTAATTTAACATCTATTATTATTTTATAAATTCTATTTAAATATACCTATAAAATTTTCATATATAATAAATTATTACACACAAATTATGATATTTACTAATAATTAAATTAAAATACTATTGCATGAAATATAAATATGCGATCATCATAAAACTATTTTATGAAACGATATTTCTCAAAATTGAAATTTGAATAAGTAGTAACATATTTATATCATATAATATAAAATATTTATGTTTATTTTACGGAATAAACATATATTATAGGCATTTTGCTTGAATTAAATTAATTATCTCTAATATTAGGAATTATAAATTATAATTCATATCACAAATATGTTTAATTTTGCTTGATAATGTGTTTTCTATTAATATTTTGTATTTATATTGTGTCCTTTATAAATACATAATATATCCATTAAAAAAAATTAGGGGCGCAGCCTTTGAACCCCAATATTACTAAAGGGCATAATTTACAATTTCACCGAGGAACTCCAAATCGCCAGGTCGGCCCTGCCAATAAGTAACTCGAGTTGTATTCTTGTTCGATTCGATTAAAGCTCGTTAAGGAGTGACTCGACTGTTCATAAAACCAAGTTCAAACACGATTTTGAAAGCTTGATAAAGAATATTCAAACTTCAGAAAAGTATGACTTCGCCTCCACTCGATTTGTTTACACCTCTATTCCAAACATATAATCCAAACAGAAGATTAGTTCTGAAGGGATGCACGGGAAATACATATCCAGGGATTCTACAATATAATGGGCCAAAGTAAAAAAGGTAGCGATGAGTGGCTCCAATTCCTCACTTGGACTAAAAGGCAATTTTGCGGATAAGATTTCATATATATATATATATATATATATATATCCTGTGAAGACTACACTGGGTGATTTTTTATTGTCGATCTACACACACCAATGTAGGTGTGTGTATCTTTGTGTAGCATAGGATAGACTATATTAGCAAGTCCTCAATCATATAACTTTTTATTAATATATACGTATACATATTTAATTTGATATAAATAAATTCTAATTCTGATAAGAATCTGCTCAACTTTTAGGTCCTTTGTCTTACATTGGATTCCTCTAATGGAACTTGAACACACCAATGATTATACCCCACCTTAGCTTCTCTCTACTTTTCCCATCATGATTAAAAGAAAACATGAGATAAAATAAAATTCTAAAAAATGAGGCCAATTGTCTTGATTATTATTAATATAGTACTATGACATCTAAATTAATTTCTAGACAAACACAAGTTCCATTATAATATATAAAGATCACCAGCAGATTGTTATAGGGGTTTGGAATCTTCAAAATATGGTAATTTGCATCCACCTCCCCTGAATTGTGGTATTTTGGCAAGTACACCCCAAATCTTTAAGATACACTCCATCCATCCAATTTTTCGTCAGTGGTCCGTTTGTTTTAGAGGTAGAGTAGGAAAATTACATGTATATAAATAAACAAAGAAAAAGGTTAACTTGTATAATTAACATGTGGGATACAAAAGGGCTTTTTAATTAATTTTTCAATCTTACATCATCTCAAACTTTTTGGGCATTATTTTTGAATATTTATTGACAATATATATCAATCTTTAAAAAAATTAAGAGATATGGGGGCAACGATGAAATACATGGATTTAAAGACCTTCTGATTAATGGTTTTTCTTTTTTTTTTTTTCTTTTACAGAATAAGTTCACAATTAATTGTTATTCTTGTTATTGCATCCACAAAAGATCGTCATACTTACTGGTTAAAAAAAAGTTAATACTTATCGGTTAAAAAAAAAAGGAATATTGATAAATCTGAATATAAAATTTGAATTGTGTACGTAAGAAAATAAGACATTAAAAGTTAAATTGGATAAAGGGTCGCATAAGCAAAGAAAATTATAAGAAAATAATACTAATAATAATAATTAACAAAAAATAAAATTTGGCTTCACGAGGTTGCAAGAATTGATCTTGATGAGCTTCCAAATAGCAGTAACACATGGCAATGCTCTTAAATGTTCTGATATATATATGCAGTTCAATCAATTAATAATTGTTAATTTTAATTTTGGCACTATCCTATGCTCTCGTTCAATCATCAACCGGCACCTTTGATGCACGGAAATTTCTAGATACACCGGTTTCCATGTTTGGTAACGTTTTGAAACCAAAACGCCATGATACTTGTCGGAAACGTTTCAAAGTCATTTCCGTAAATATTTTAAAAAAAAATCGGGGACGTTTCTAGTGATAATCAAAAAATTAAAACGTGTTTTCATCCCCCAAAAAACTAAAATCCGTTTTAAATATAAACACAAAATGGCTTACACTTAAAAAAATCTTAATCTTACGTCGATTTTTCATTTTTAGTGGTGTTTTAATGTTTTTTAGATGCTGATTCCATATCAAAATAAATATGTATGCCTCTAATGTAATTTGTGGAATGATAATTCTGATTGGAACTTGTAAATTATATATAATTTGTGATACAAATATGTAATCGATGATAAGTATATAAGTTAAATATTATAATATTTTTTTAACCGATGGGTATACTCCTATATTTTTAATACTGACACATTTCTCCCACGTTCCAGTATCCAGTTTTTTTGTAAAATGGAATCTGTCTACCCGTTTTGTAGTATCGACGGTCTCGTGTCCGTGCTACATATATGAGAACAGATTAATTACTTTTTCCTTGTTCGATTTGTCTTTTTAACAGGTATTCTGGAAAAATATAATTTGTATAGGCCGACCTACATTTGTATTATTGGATAAATAAAAATTATGAATTTGGTCCATGAAATAAAAGTGTGTAAAATAATAGTTCACATGCCTAACTAATAATATTCCTTACTGCCAAACTAATGATATTGTAATATGTATTTTGGCGTATTTTGAACATTATCTAAGAAGCAGCCGGTAAAGTTATATGAGGAACATAAATTTAACAAAACAAGAAAATATTTCTAAATTAATTAAAATGACGTAACCTATATAACTATGTACCTAACCAACTCCATCAATTTTGACTACCTTTGCCCGGTCAAGTAGATTTTGTTTTTTTTTTGAAGATTTTGAGTAAACGAATAATAAATAAACTTGATTAGGCTATTATGAAAAAAATAGCAACTACATCTTAAATATTCTTTTTATTCATATTATCAGTATTATTATTATTATTATTAATTTATGTGTATCAACCTTAAACGGCACTTGAAAAAAAAAACATATGAAAGAATTAATATTTCCTCTATAATAAAATATTTATTGTTTCTATTGTTGCACAAATATCAAGAAAACTATAAAAATAATACCCATGCTATAAAAGAAAACATAGAAAATGACTAAATTCCTTTTTCATTAGTTGTTTGTTCAATAATTTTCTCTAAAATTAAGTAAGAGAAAAATTAAAAATAATTAATGTACTAATGGAATTTTATAGTGAAATTAAAAAACAAATAAAATAAATTGGTATAGTAAGAAGGTATATTGGAAAGTGTGGCAATACAATTAAAGAGATTTGTCAGCTCAACTAGTAAAATAGGCGCAGTCTGCAACATCTGTGCTCTCCCTCTTAAATGTTTTTAACTACATTTATAACATATACTACACCACTATATGCCTAAATTTCATAACCGGTTTATATAACTACACCATCGGGTGGCAGAGTCAGCATAGGACCAGGTGACCACGGCTCCTCCAAGATTTAACGAGCCCCTTTTAGTTTCTCTCGAAACTTAAAATTCTGGCTACGTTAATGTACCATCCATCCATGGACATAAAAACTAAACAAAAAGTTGGAGGAAAAGTAGAGTTCAATTTTAAGAGAACCTATAAAAAGTATTTCTAGATTCGGTTTTAATTATAAGGGTAAATTACAACCAGCTCCTTGAGGTAAAGTGTAACTACAGAAAAAAAAAAATATTTTTTTTGTAGAAATTACATTCAGCCTCTTACAGTTTGTAAATTTTTTACATCCACATATTAAAGGGTGTTAATGTAAAAAATCTACATATTGCAAGGGTGGATGTAATTATGAAAATATGAGGGGGCTTTCGTAAAAAAAACTTATCTCAGGTGGCCGGTTGCAATTTACCCTAATTATAAATAAATACGTAAACATTAAAAAGATGCACGGTCCTTTTTTTTTTTGGTATTTTGCAGTTATCAACGTGTTCTTGTTAGCAATTTCGCATTTTTATTTGATTTTTGTTTGGTTAACAATTTGATCTTCGTATATATGTCTGTTGAAATTACGTATTTAAAATTGATTTATTAAAATGATAGAGGATTGTTACCATTTTAAGATAATTAGGTGCTGATACGAATGTATCTTGAAACACAAAAAATGAATTGCTTTCACATTTATTCAAACCTCATCCCAATCACTTTTCTTACTTTCCTTTTCCTCACTCAAACCACATCCTCGTTTGACTTGCTTCACCCTTTTTCGTTTCTTAATTAATTTATTTATTATTATTATTATTATTATTATTATTATTATTATTATTATTATTATTATTATTATTATTATTATTATTATTATTATTATTATTATTATTTAGCAAATTACACAAAAATGTAAATCATGCTAGGAATAGTCACGTATGACTATCTTCCATGTATCACGCATTTTTGGTTATTTTGAATTTATTTCCAAAGACCAATATTCACATAAATACATATTCATACAATTTATTGGGGCATTAGATACTACACCTAATTATTTATATTGAGTGGATTAGAACCGTAAATTTAATTAACTAACTGCCAATTAAGCACGCAACACACATGAGTGTATGCAATTGTGTGTAGATCTGCAATTCAAATTCATCTAATGTAAATAATTAGATGAACCATCTAATTTTCCCAATTTATGTGAATATTATATATATGTATCATGTATGTATGTATCCCTCTATAGCTCGGTACCACTCTAGCTTCCATCCAACATAGGCAATTTTTGCTCATGCAAATTGCAAGATATCTCTCTCTCTCTCTTTAATCTCTCTCTCTCTCTCTCTCTAGCAATCATCCATCTGTAATATCTGCTGCATACACTAGGTTTGTATGGATGATATAACCATGTGGGCAACAAGTCAAGTACTAATTTGTATAGTAGCGGTTTTTTTCTGAAAGTTGATTGACCTGGGTCTCTCAACCTCTCATCCTCATCAACAAAATTAAATTATTACTTATATATATATATATACATACACTGGTAGCTAGCTGCAAACTCCCACCACCCCAAACCCACACACAGATAAATCCACATGGTGGAACCAAACAATAACAACCACCATCACCACCACCAGGTGGTGGAGATAGCCGCCATGGAGACGGAGGTGCACAGGGTGGCGCCTCCGCCTCGGCGGAGCACGCTGAACAAACTGAAGAGGCGTCTGAAGGAAACGTTCTTCCCAGACGACCCTCTCCGTCAGTTCAGCGGGCAGACGTGCAAAGTAAAACTCGTGCTCGCTTCGCAGTACATATTCCCGATACTTGAATGGGGTCCCAGATACAATCTCAAACTCCTCAAATCTGATATCGTATCCGGGCTCACCATTGCCAGTCTCGCCATACCTCAGGGCATCAGCTATGCCAAGCTGGCTAATCTGCCTCCCATCGTCGGCCTCTGTCAGTGACTATTTTATTTTCAAAAACACATGCAGTATTATTTCTTTTTAAACGAAAAGTCATATATGTATATATGTACGTACGATCAACTAATTCCTTTTTTTTCTTTTTAAATCAGATTCAAGCTTCGTGCCACCGCTAATATACGCTGTTCTTGGGAGCTCAAGGGATCTGGCGGTGGGCCCGGTCTCGATTGCGTCTCTGATAATGGGTTCGATGCTCAGACAAGAAGTTTCACCTTCTAAAGATCCAATTTTGTTTCTGCAACTTGCTTTTTCTTCTACTTTCTTTGCTGGACTTTTTCAATCTTCTTTGGGCTTTTTGAGGTTTTTTTTTTTTCTTTCTTCTTCATTATAATTATTATGTATATATAAATAAGTTTGAATTAATTGAATTGATATGAGTTTGTTTTGGTATTACAGGCTAGGATTTATAATAGATTTTCTGTCAAAGGCAACACTGATTGGATTCATGGCGGGTGCTGCAATAATAGTATCTCTACAGCAGCTAAAGAGCCTTCTTGGAATAAAAAACTTCACTAAGAAAATGGGAATAGTTCCTGTTTTGAGCTCTGTTTTCCACAACACTGATGAGGTATTATTTTTTTTATTTTTATTTTTATTTTTTTAACTTTCATTTATTACTCACTCATCTCTATATTTATTTTCAGCTGCATGTAATTAAGCTATATTCAGATTTTCTACAACTTTTTTTCTTTCTTTTTGACCATTTTAAGAACACTCTGTCTCCCATATTTCTGTCACCAAACTCATTAAATTATGGAGTAGAATCCCATTAAATTAAAATTTCGTTTAAATAATAATTCTTCCGATACTGATATGGTGGGAATCTG